TTCCTTCACTAGGGCTCAAAAGAAGCCAGTAGATTACAGAGATTAAGACCATTCCCGCAGAGACAGGAAAAGCAACTTTAGCCCTTTCAGCTGGAAGAGGCAGATGATCCCTCCCTTGCTTAAGACGTCATTATCCATGATCCCTTCCCTCCGCATGCCTCAGCCTCCTGTCACTCCGCAGCTTAAACCCCTCAACCCCTCGCATTTCCAGCCACGCTTTATTTACATTTACAGCGATGCAACACATTAAGCAATTCCTCTCCATCGTCACTTTTCTGGATGTTTAGATTATCTCTTCGCTAAGGAAGAGATTGATCTGGCATATATTCACCCTTTACAGACAACTGTCCCCAGTAACTGCCTGCTCCAGGTTTCTTCCGCAGCTTGTAGAGGCTATGGGTAAGCTTGGGATGTGTTTCACTAAAAATACTATTCAGCCAAACTGCGCCTTTTACTTGTGCCTGCTAATAACTGAAAGGAGTTTAGAGAAGATGATCAGTTTGCTCTTCCTCTAGCCAGGGACCTGCAACTACCAACCCGCGCTGACTTGTAGCTGTGTTGTTTATGGGTACGTTACACATAATGTACAGCTGGGAGGAAACCTCTCCTCCTTAAGCCTCCCCGCTAATAATACAACAATACAGATAAGAGGCATAGAAGAGGCAAAATTAAAGTTAGGATCAGGCTGATGATGATTGATGAAACCAAATACATTAAAAAGCAAATGCACAGAACTTTTCTGCCACATATTAGCAGTTGCTTTCCACACCTAGCTGGAGGAAATGGAGTAAGAGGAAGTGGCAAACACTATAAGTAAAAATAGAATTGTAGCAAGGTGTCCTTAAGGAACTCTGTAATTTAAAACAGCATGCCAATACTGCTGAGTGACTATATTTCTTCAAAAAAAAAAATCTATTGTAGCAATAGGATTGGAAATAAATAAATAAATAAATAAATAAATATAAAAAAAATCAAGTTTTCTTCCAAGGGTAAATTAAAGCAAACAAACAGTACATTTCAAGAATGTTCTTCTGCTCACTGTCAGTTCACTCTTGTGGGGGGGGGGAAGGGAAGGAAGTATTTCTAGTTCAAAAAGACCCAAAACATTCACTCAAGGAGAAGAAGGAAGAAAATAAGAGAATACAGGAAAAGCGAGCTCTTACTTCACTCCAACCAATAAACACAATTATGTATTTCAACCAGTATTTTGAAGGGAGTGGGTGAGTAAGAGACGAGCCTCATTGAGCTTATTTCTCTAACTTCATTACTCTTTCTGTCATTTTTACGTACAGAGTTGCTACCAGTTTGTCAGGGCAACACCATAAATGCAGGCAAAGCAAATATCTGGTTTTGGTAAAGTGCTCTTGACCCAGGAGGTAAGGACTGGAGTCACTCAGGACTGTCTCACATCACCCAGCTGAACTGCTCCATTGGCCTGAACCCCCAACCCTCTGCTCAAAGTTTTCGTGAAAGGGTGAGCTTCATTATCCTTTACCTTAGAGTTCTCTACAAAGGCCTGTGTAAAGGAGTAAGATTCAGCTCCAAGTGGTAAAATGGTTGATGAGAAGGTTTTCAAACTACAGCATGAATTTATAATCTTTTACTTCTGCCCCTTAGAAAATGTATGACAAGTTTTGAACATATAAAACAACCTTCATAGAATCATAGAACAATTCAGGTTGGAAAAGACCCTTGGGATCATCGAGTCCAACCACTGATCCTACACTACAAGTTCACATCTAAACCATATCACCCAACACCACATCTAAACAACACTTGAACACATCCAGGGATGGCGACTCAACCACCTCCCTAGGCAGTCTGTTCCAGTGTCTGACCACTCTTT